CAACGCCCAGCTATTTTTTTGGTTGCAGCCGTCTTTGTTTTGGTGGGCCCGGGCTGGATTCGAACCCACCACCTTAGGTATATGTGGCTGGCGCCTTAGCCACTTGAGCCACAGGCACTGAGCCGATAACTGTCTTTTCAAGAGACCAAACTTAAAAAATATTTATTTCAGGCTCAGCGCCTATAGCTCAAGCTATACACCAACCACATACACCAGAGCTGGCAAGTTCAAATCCAGCCCAGGCCCACCAAACAATGACAACTACAACCAAAAAATAGCCAGGCTTTGTGGTGGGTACCTGTAGTCCCAGCTACTTTGGAGGCTGAGGCAAGAGACTTGCTTAAACCCAGGAGTTGGAAGTTGCTATAGCTGTGAACACCACGGCACTCCACCCAGGGTGACAGCTTGAGGCTCTGTCTCAAAAAAAAAAAAAAATATATATATATATATATATATGTGTATTTCAGACTGTCACTATGTATTATAAAACGATGACTTTCTCTAAAGGGGAAATTGTTGAAATAACTGTAAGAGGAGGTTTCATTATAATCTTCTTTATTAGGAGGGCTCACAGATTCTGGGGTAAACTTGAACCACTGGGCTACAGTTATAGGGGATAGATTTGGTTAGTTTTTAAGAACATTGAAATAATCAGTACAGCTGCTTTCCAAATGCTATATGACCATCTGCCAGAGACTTTCAGAGGAGTCTCCTTGCTTTGTGGGTAACAACCTCAGGCATCTGGCTTGCAGATCTAGAGATCTTCCAGTTTATGAAAACTTAACTTGCAATGTACATGTATATATTGGATGTCTACCTCTAATTTTAATATGTTCATTTGCTATGTAGATTGCCTCCCCTAAAATCATATTCGTAAGTACAAATTTTAAAGTCTTAAATACTTTAAAAGACTTTGTCACCTTGGCTACTTAACAGTTCCAAATGAGCTGCAAAGAGGGCTCTGACCATTGGGCATGGGCCATCAGGAGCTAGAAGACAACGAGAACAAAGCAGCTGGAATGCAGTTTCTCTGCAGTCGCCAGCAGACTTGCTGGCCTGGCCATCTGGATGTGCAGGAGATATGGTGGAATACAGACAGAGGCCACTTGGCCAGTCCTCAGCCCACTGTGCTAGCCTGACCATCTGGAAATGGGAGAAAGAGGACAGAGTACAGACAGAAGGCCACCTGGCCAGTTTTCACCATTACGGGGATGTAGTTTTGCTGCTCTCAGCCAGGGACAGCTTCTTCAAATAAGTGCCTCTCCTCTGCATCTGGGTTTTCTCTGCTGATCCTCCTGTGGCCCTCTGTTTCCTTCACTCCACAGTCTGCTTCTACAGCAGCTTAGCTACATCCACTCATTAACCAAACACATACAGATCCCGTGCTCTGTACTTGGCATTGAGCATGGTGTTGGGGATTTAGAGAACAAGAAACCTAGGATTCCTGCCTCCTGGAGCTTTAAGTCTAGGAGGCAGGACAAATCAATCACATTTATGCTATGTCCGAGCCATGCTATTAAGGGAAATATGAAAGGTGCAGATGGGGGAGCTAATTTAGGTAGGGTGAGTGGAGAAGCTCAGGGCATGCTTCAGTGCAATGTGAACTTGGAGCTGAGGCCTAAGGATGACGAGAGAGCCTCAGAGTAGAAAATAGACATTAGCTAGGTGAAATGTCCTCACAGCGCTTTCATAGTTAATTGTGACCCTGTGTCCAAGTTAGAGCCAGACTGCCCTCTTTGAGTTCCTTTGGTCTTTTCTTCCTGGATTCCCAGTCCATATTTCACTTTTCCTCTTGGCTTGCTCTATCACAGGGTTTCGGTCTTAATTTCTCCTTACTGTACTCACCAGTGTTCATGGCCCTGAATTTCTCACCTAACTGATATCCACAGATAAGCCTGTCCCTCCTCCTCCCTGAATCCAGCCCCACACACCACCAATGAGAAGCTCCTCTGCAAGGCTCTGTCCCTTCATCAGGTCCATCTGCATAGGGCGATGCTGTTGTAACATCTAAACATGTTTAAAAAGCATTTAGAGTGTGGGCTTCGACGTCATTCAAATCTGAATTCATATCATGACTCTGATATTAGATGCGTGGCCCCAGACAGTTTATTTGATCCTCTAAACCTCACTGCCATCTGCAAAAGTATTGTTGTTGTGAAGATTAGAAATAACGCCTGCCAAGTGCCTGGTTGGCACTGAATGGTTGGCATTCAGTGAAAGCCAGCACCCCCAGGTGAGCTAGGAAGAAGAATGGCTTGCAGTTATTTTGGAACAATAACTGGAGATAGAATTAGAGAAAGTATATACACTGTCCTTGCTTTAAATGTCTGTTGATGTGTGCTGGTTTTCAGGCAGAAGACAAGGCAGATGTGTTGAATAAGGAGCTCCTTCTGACCAAGCAGAAGCTGGTGGAGACCGAAGAAGAGAAGAGGAAGCAAGAGGAAGAGACTGCCCAGGTACAGGGCACACGTGAGCTTTTTCTCTACACAGCTACATTGGTAGGGAATTGACTAATATTATAAATAACAAAGAAGTAAAATTAAACTTATTTTAAATCAAGGGTGATGTTGAAGCAGTAAATGTAAATTGTTGAGTCTACTCACTCAACATTTTTGTTTGACATTTTTGACATTTCTTCTGAAGGGTGTAAGAAGAGGAAGCAGTATTTCTACCCTTGAACAGCTTTTAGGAATTTGCCTTTACTCAGATGTCTAGCAAGAGTGTTGAATTTTCTCTAAGTTTAGTAATTTGAAATTATGATCCAAGAGTTTTGACGAATCTGCAAATTTTGTGTCATATCTCCAAGATAATTGACTTGTCTGAAGTCGTTTATGAGCGTTGTTAAGTCGAGAGCCTACGGAGATCTTTGCTGGGAGTTGCCACACAGCCTCTGCCTCCATCACTCAGGCTTCATTTTCCTGATTCATGGCTGAAGGAGTGTCAGCATTCCTGGCAAAGCTCTCAAACCTTTTTCCAGGGGGAATAGAAAGAAACCCTTTGAGAACCCGGCTTTAAATAAGTACCCTACACTCTTCATGTGAGCTGGAAGGCTAATAAGCTAAAAGATGCCACTATTTCAAAGGGGTACAGGTTAGGAGCAGAGAGGCCTCCACCTATGGAGGTAAAGCTCTGTCTTCATTAGGGAAGAGCAGGCTGTCCTCACTCCCATCAGTCCTGGCCACAAGGATGATGCAGATTAGCTTATGGGTTCCATTTTCTTCACAAACAATTAAAGTCTCCTGCCAAGAACTTGTCTGAATTTTACTAATATGACTAACTTACAATGTGAGACAACTTCTTAAATCATGGTTAATTTATTCTAATGAGTTTCATTCTAAGATATCAGTAATACTAAAAATAAAGCAAAGCATAAAAGATTTCAAAGACCTATATCCAAGCAACCCTAAAAAAGTTCCAGTAAATTTACACGTAGAGGGATGTGTCATTTAGCACCTTCAAGGATTTTCAAAAAGTGTTCCATGATATTTTTCCCTTGGAATCCAATTAAATGAGTCTTTTGGTATTTTTTTTTTTAACCTCAAAATTTTTTAGGTCCTGATTACCTACTTTGTAGATTATTAGGCCTCTTGATGGGTTTTGTTTTTTCATTACCTCCTGCTTTCTCTGGGCCACTTCAGTACTTTAGGTAAGGAATATAATTTTTGGTGAATAAATTTAACCCATGCTCTACCTATCCCGTGGGTTCTATAGACATATATTAGCCCTTGGTTAATAATCCCTAAAATGTGACACTTGAGAACTCTCCTAGTATATGGCAAGAAAAAGATGCTTTGTGTTCCCTCTCCCTGCTCTGTGTGTGTAACCTGTTCTAGTCATTGTGGTACCCTCGTGAGATAGAAATTATTCTCAGATGAACGAACTATGGCTTAGAGAAATTTAGTGACACTTGCTCAAAGCCTCTCAGCTCTCTAAGTCTGTCCTAAAGTCAGTGGAACCTTAACACAGGAATGTATTTTTTATGTCCTCAAATTATATCAGATCAAGAATAGAGATTAGGCTCGGCGCCTGTAGCTATAGCTCAGTGGGTAGATTGCCAGCCACATACACTAGAGCTGGCAGGTTCAAACCCGGCCCGGGCCTGCTAAACAACAATGACAACTACAACAAAAAAATAGCCAGGCATTGTGGCAGGAACCTGTAGTCCCAGCTACTTGGGAGGCTAAGGCAAGAGAATCGCTTAAGCCCAAAAGTTTAAGGTTGCTGTGAGCTCTGATGCCACAGCATTCTACCGAGGGTGACATAGTAAGACTCTGTCTCAAAAAAAAGAGAGAGATTAATGTAAACAATTAAGGTTGAATCAGTAAGTCAGTATAAGCTCTGAATTGCTTTAGAATTTTAGAACCTGGAAGATATGCAAGAAATCTGGAAGATTTCAGAAAATCTTCTAATGATAAGGAGCCCAGTTATAAATTGCAATAATATCTCAGAAATCTTCTAATGATAAGGAGCCCAGTTATAAATTGCAATAATATCTCAATTAACAAGCACAAAGCATACTCTATTAGGAATTTGGGATGCTTTGGTGCAGAGTGTATGCCTTTATTCTGATTATATACTTAAAGATTATGTTTGTCCCAAATAGACCACAGAATTGAAATTTTTGTAACATTCATAATTCAGCTTTTCAGGGGTAATAATAAGTACTTGCAGAATGTATTACTTTAACTTCTAAAGGCACTGTTTCTTTCGTCCTTGAATCTCCCATCCTTCTCAAAGGCTCTGACCCTTCTCCATCTTCTTTGACTCTAGTTTCCAAAGCCTCTTTGTTCCTGCCATCAGAGAGGTAACAGCAGCAGTAAAGGACTATGAACAGGAAGTCTGCCAATGTCTTTTTCAGTAATTTATAATACAGCATCAGGAGTAACAAATGTAGCATGCAGTGTTGTTGCCTTGATATTTTGTTTTAGGCTCTAGTAAGGCTGAAAGTAACATCTGAATGGACACTTATTTAGCAAAATGTTTGGGAAAAGCAAACATAAGCAGTTTTAGAATACATTTACTCACATATCTTACACTTTTACTGGCAAGAAAGTAGGATTTCCATGTCTCTGGAGATGATTGGGTTTTTTCAAATTATCAATATGTAGTTTGAGTGAAGAAAATGTATATAGTTGTTACCATTGTTATTGACTGTGAATCAGGCCAACTTATAGAGATGTTTGTGAAAATTCATTAAGATTTTGTCTGAATCTTGATGTTTCTCATTCTTTCCAGCTAAAAGAAGTCTTCAGAAAACAGCTAGAGAAGGCAGAATATGAAATAAAGAAGACAACAGCCATCATTGCTGAGTATAAGCAGGTAATGTGCCACAGGGGCACATGGTGCTAGTTACAGTTTTTTGCCATAAAGTAATTATTTTTGTTGTTGCTGTCTCTCTTTGGGGGAAAAAAACACTTTGTTCTTAGAGTTTTAAGAACAGTTTTCCAGATTTATTAAACTTCGCGGTTCCCTCTCTCCTTTGAAATGGACGGTGACTGAACATATTTGCTGATAATTCCAGAGGTCTTATTGACCAAAATAATCTGTTCGTTATTACAATGTTTGGTAGATTTAGAGGAATAGGAAACCTTGTGATTACCATTGAGATCCTGTCTCTGTTTTACTCAGCAGCTAATTTCCAATAGGTCACACTGGTAACATGTGCCTCTTTGCAACATTTAGTGATTGTATCCAACAACGATAGCTAGGGGATCCTGTGTGTCCTTTGCTATCACAGTACAGAATTTGGGCACTCTTTTTCCCACATGGCTACATGGCCTTACCCAGGCACGCAGGAGTCTTTCTACTGTGAACCTTAAGATGATCACTCTCCTTGGCGATGTTTCTGGCCGTATCACGAGAGTGGTCTCAGAAAGCCCTCATTCCAGCTCCATGGTATCTTCCTGTTCTTCCAACTGTCTGGACATGGGAAGGACTCCTCTCACTGCTGAGAGACCATGAGTGGACTGCTCCAGTTCCAGGTTTCCAGAATTAATTACGGCATTGTATGCCATCTTCAGATCCAAGGATTTTCTTGGGGGCTTCTACCTCACATGGGATTTACAAGTCTAACTGCTTTTACTTTTTAATTATTTTTCTGCTTACAAGTGAAATTTATGTTCTTATGGAAAATTAGAATGGTGTAGAAAAGCACAAAGAAAGCAAACCTCCTTTACTCTTGCTAAATAGAGGTAATCATCCTACTATGTTGAATATGCATTGTTGCTGTAGAAATGAATGCTACCTAGATAAATTTATAATATATACGAACAGGATAAATCAGATTGTTCATCCTATTTTTGGAACTCGCTTTAGTTCACTTAATACATTAGGAACATCTTTCTATAAGGAGTCATCATCTCTATGAAAGATTGTTTAGAAATAAGACCTCAGAGCTGTCTTACTCTTCTCATGATCAGCCTATGTCACTTTAATGCCGGCTACCTGTGAGGCTTAATACTTAAGCAGACAAAAAGATGAATTCATTCAATTTCTCTCCCCATAAGCTTATCTTGTAATGGGGAGATAAATAAGAAGAAAGGGAACTTATTATATCTGGGAAATGAAGAAACCCTGGAGAAGGAATGATTTGATCTGTGCTTCAAAGGCTGGTGAAACTTGGATATTTGGAGACTCAGAAGGAGGGACTAGCATATACAAAGGTGTGGAGGTAGATTAGTGAACAGAAAAAAATGTTATTTGGTAACAGATTCAAGTATAGAAAAGAAGCAAAGCTACACTGGGGCCCAATCAAGGAAGGACTTCAGGGCTGAGGATTTTGGGTTTTATTTTGATTGTAGTAGGATTTTTTGATCGGGAAAGTGGTATAATCAGGAACATATTGTTAGTGCTCATCAGTCCCAGTGAGAAATGTGGAACCAAGTGGAGAGATCCACAGGCGAGGACATAGACCAGTAAGAGGCGAATACCAAAGTCCTAGTCAGAAGAAATAGGTCCTAGAACTAAATAAGTAATAATGAAAATGAGGAAGAAGGAGACAGAAAGATAATCATGTTGTTGCCGGGTGCGATGGTATGCACCTATAAACCACAGCTACTCAGGAAAGAGAAAAAGAAGAGGCAGTCATTTTTTTGTTAAACAGGGGAAAACATTGAATAGATTTTGGATTTTGAATTTGGGTAACTACGGAAAAGGATCATCAGACATTAACCAATATGAGGAACATTAAAAGCCATGTGCTATGGAACTTGCTATCGCTGCAAATGCGTTTTTTCAATTGCCAGATTATCCCAGGGTGGCCACCATATGCAGTACTCTGCAGGCAGTAATCCTTGGGACTATCTTGAATATCATCTGGCAAGCACTCCAAGCAATGCAAAAGGCAATAGACCCATCTGTTTAAAGATAATTAGGATGTAAAACATAATCTAAATGTATTCTGCATTTAGAATTGGCTATTGTTGGCTATATTTCAGAATGTTTGGGTTTATTTAAAAGGATTTATGGTTTGCAAAAATTATCTTTCTGCTTTTTTTTTTTGGAGACCGCCCTGGCTTGGGTATAGTGGTGTTATCATAGCTCACAGCAACCTCAAACACTCAGGCTCAAGAGATTCTCCTGCCTTGGCCTCCTAAGTAGCTAGGACTACAGGCATATGCCACCAAGCCTACGTAATTTTTTCTATTTTTAATAGAAATGGGGTCTCACTCTTGCTCAGGCTGTTCTGAAACTACTGAGCTCAAGCAATCCTCCTGCCTCAGGCTCCCAGAGACATGGGCCGAAGTACCTGGCATGATTTCTTTCTTTCTTTCTTTCTTTCTTTCTTTCTTTCTTTCTTTCTTTTTTTTTAACATCAATCCAATCTTACTCATGGTTCTCCAGGTTTGGATCTGGAAAAACTGGAAACCACAATTAAAAACCAAGCCCTGGTCTCCAGAGCTATGTTTCACAGACTAGGATTTTTAAAAATGTCTCCTTTGACAATAGAGATAGACCACATAATGTGTTTAGCACAAATTGTACTTTAAAATTTGACATCCACTATTTTTTTCACTTATTTTCCTAAAATAAAAGATTCTTAGTTGATGGATTTCAATATTCAATATTTCTTTATTGGATTTATAAATAATACTTATTTAAACATATTTTTTGAAACTGTTATTTCTACCTGTTGCCAATAGTTGGTAGCATCTTATTTCAGAATCAATAATAATAGATTTTATTAGGTGGCTCCCATTGCTCTGGATACGGTGCTGGCTTGGGGCTGGTGTGTTGAACCTGGCCTGGGCCAGCTAAAACAACAATGACAACTGCAAAAACAACAACCAAAAAAATAGCCAGGTGTTGTGGCAAGCACCTGTAGTCCCAGCTACTTGGGAGGCTGAGGCAAGGGAAATCGCTTAAGCCCAAGATTCTGAGGTTGCTATGAGCTGTGACGCCACGGCACTCTACCCAGGACGAAAGCTTGAGACTCTGTCTCAAAAAAAAAAACAGATTTTATATAATGAGTACTTACTATTGAGCAGGTACCGTACTAAACTTTCTCCATACTATTTTTCCCCACGTAATTGCCACAGCACAGCACTTTTTAATTTTGAGGAAAATGAGCCTTAGAAAGACTAATAAATTTACTCAAGGTCACAAAGCTATAAAGTAGCACAGTTGGACTAGTGTTAAACTCACTTTGACTATAACACCCAAGCTTTTAATTTCTATGCTATGCTTCCCAAACACTTGATAAGAGTTTTGGTGTATTATTTTATGGTCATTTTAACTTCGTTTTATTTTCTCAGCCATTATTTAAGGAAAATTTTGTGATGAAAACAGATACTGTGGCTGTGAATAGGGGATATTTCTGGTTCAGAATGCTTTTCATCATTTTTCCAGCCTAGTGCCTTGTATAAGGTAGACTCTCAGCAAAGATTCTATAGATTGATTCCAAAATGAGGTCAGGAATTCATTGGAAGCAGTCGTGGAAGGCTAGTGACAGAAAGAAGCCAAATCCATCCAGCGTATGTTTCCACTAATTAAGATAGCCTTGTGCTTTCCACATGGAACTCTGAGGCTTTCTGCTGCTCACTTCAGAAATTACTGGCATTTGTAGTGCTGTTCATATGCACAATTCCTTCTAGGATTAGATATGGTATAGTAATATATGAGTTGATAAATAGTTATGTGCACATGCTGGAAAAGTTCTGTTT